CCCATTGCAGTATTTTATCTTCTGAATTTTCAGATGTTTCTAATTTTTTACTGTTAAAATTTAGTCTGGATAGCGAATCCAAATGTGGAATAGTGTTTCCCTTTACAGATATGATGTCAAAATCAAAAGCCATGAGTTTTACAGCCCATCTTAAAATTTTAGAAGATGTGACTTTTGGTAATTCCTTTCTGGGGTTAAATATAAACTCTAAAAGTTTGTGATCTGACTTTAACAAAAATTTTCATCCTAACAAAAGATTTTGAGCTCTTTCTGTGCTCCATATTATTGCTAAAGTTTCTTTCTCAATATTTGAGTAGTTAGCTTCAGCTGACGTTAATTTTATCAACAGGTACATTCAGATGACCTTCTTGAGATAAAATTGTGGCTACAGGATGTTCACTTGAATCCATAGTCAATGTCACTTCTTTTTTTGGATCAAAGATTTTTGCAATCAGTTTTCTTATTAGTGCCTTTTTTAAGCTTTCAAAAGCTATATTTTTCCTTTGAGTTCATTTAAATTCTGTATTTTTTTCTGTAATTCTGCAAATTGTTCTATTAGGTTGCTGTATCTAAGTATATATTTGCTACAAAAATTGGTCAATCCCAAAAAGGATTCTAATTCTTTTTTATTTTTTGGTATAGATACTGATATTTTATTTATCAGTTTATTGTCTGGTGAAATTACTTCTTTAGATATTTGGTATCCCAAATATGATATTTTGTCACAATTTACAATTATTGCTATATATCATCATACCAGCATTTTTTAATTTGTTTAAAACTTGTTCAGTTTTTTTAATTCCTCTTTACTGCAAGCACCTATGCCTATATCATCTTGATATGATTATATTTTTGACCCTCTCCAATAGAACTTTTTCAATTGCCTTTTGAAAAATATGGCTTGAAGTCTTAACTCCAAATGGAAGATGAGTCCATCCTAGTAAACACATCAGTGTATTAATTGTAGTGACTTCTTTAAATTTTTCATCAATTTTCAGATCAGATTTCAGATCAGTATTGGCAAAGTACAAGGTAACCAAAAAAGTTTTGTCCGTTTTTAAAGGAAAAAAAATAAATGCTTCACAGTATGTGTAACTTATATTTAGTCTTCGAAGTAATCGCCATCGGCATCCAGCACCTTCTGCCAACGTGTCTCCAGCTGTTCAATGCCCTTGTGGTAGAACTCTGGGGGTTTTGATTCAAAGAAGGCCATGAGGGCTTTGCCCAAGTCTGCTTCATTGGTGAAGGATTTCCTACGAAGATGATTATCCAGAGAGTGGAAGAGGTGGTAATCGGATGGCGCAAGGTCAGGTGAATAAGGTGGATAGCACAAAGTCTCCCACCCAAGTTGCTGTATGGTATCCCTGACCACTCACGCGACATGCGGCTTGGTGTTGTCATGGAGGAAAAGCACACATTTGCGATTCACCAGTGCTGGCTCCTTCTGGCGCAATGCCTGTTGCACACATTTCAATTGCTGTGAGTATACGTCTCCAGTGACCGTTTGGCCCGTTGGTAGCAGTTCATAATGAACCACTTGACGATCTGTCCACCAGACACAAAACATAATCTTGTGTGGGTGCATAGGTGGTCTTGTGATGTGAGGGACAGCATCCTGAGGAGACAACCAATGTCTGAAACGCTTGGGAGTTTTGTACAGAACCCACTTTTCATCACTGGTAAGCACTCGATTGAATAAGGATGCGGTACCGTGGCAAGAAAGTGGCGATACGCAGGCTGCCACTCGTTGTCCCTTGTTGACTTCCAACAGCGTTTGCGGAAGCCACTTGCTCAGTTTGTACGTCTTACCTAGGCGGTGCAGGTGAAGTCTGTTTCATCAGAAACATTGAACTGTCTTGCAAGTTCACCATATGTTAGACTACTGTCCTCTTCAATGGGCACCTTCAGGACTCCTTCATTCAAGACTTGTGGTCTTCCACTGCGAGGCTCATCATGGAGAGACAAATCTCCCGACTTGAATTTTCGAAACCAACACCTTGCAGTACATTCATCCACAGCACTATCCCCAAATGCTTGACATATGCGACGACTTGATGCAGCTGCTGATAAGCCCACTTTGAAGTCGTAAAGCAAACAGCCCCGAACAAGATCTCTAAACACTTCCATCCTTCTCACAGCTGTCCGGCTTATAACTGATGGTCAGGCACGGTGCGTGTGTTTTTTAAACCGTCTGATGTTCCTACTTCTGGCTGTCCAAATTTGAAAACAATTGCTACATGCATTTCGTATATATTTCAACTTCATTCAAGGACTAATCAAAAAACGGACAGTACTTTTTTGGTTTTCTTGTATTTCATTCCTGTTAATTCATGATTTTTCGTTTCTGTGTTAGATAAGGGGAATGAATCAGAGCATATCTAATGATTCACACATACTTTGTAATCCCTGCATATTTTATCATCATTGGGCTTTTGTATCGTAACAATTGGTGAAGCCCAACTGCTAACACCTTGGGTAACTTTCAGATCCATCAAATTGTTTTAAATTAAGATTATTTTTTCTTAATTTGGGTTTACCCATTTTTTCCCGAGAAATTCCTTGGGATCAAAGTAGCATCACTCCCCCATTCAATTTGACTGTCTCTCTACTTTTTGCAGATGTCATTATTGAATATACTTCTGTATTTTCAGCATGAGGATTTATATTTTCTACCCTTTCTATTCTTTTTTTGTATCTGTACACAGATTGGAAATGGTCTTTTCTTTTACAGTTTAAGCATAATTTTCCTAAGGCTGGACATTTATTTTTGTTTATTTCATGTTGTCGTAATATTTGCACTTAATTAGGATTTTAGTTGTATTCAATGCTTCCACATTGTTTTTAGAATTATTAAATTCATTAATTAATTCTAATTGCTGCAAGAATTTTACACTTGCTTCTAAATTCATGTTATTTGCTTGTAACTGTTCAAGGCTCTTATGTTTATAACATCATACATGCCTTCAGTTAGGCTTAGCAGTATCAATTCATCATCTATAGACATTTCTCTAAAACACAGTTTTTTAAATTCGCAATATCTTGATGCTTCTTTCAATCTGTGTAAATATTGTATTACAGTTTCACCTGGGTTCTGTCTATTTTCCAGAATTTTTTTGTCGCTTGTTCCTTTTTATAATGGCTGAAATTTCCTCACATGTTAAGTCTTCCAGTATTTTGGGGTACACCATAATGGATATTTTCTTTATGGCTTCACATCATGCCAAATCCCAAAATAAATTTCATTCTCTCTTCTGGAAGCTTTCTTTCAGTTTCTTTACCCAAGCCAATGCTGAAAAATGTCTAATCCAAATTTCTATGTGTTCCAGTTCACCCAACATAGTTAAGGATCCTATTGACAATGCCATAATGTTATGAAGTAGAGTACTCTCTGGAATATATGCTATCAGGTCAACAGATGGCAGCTCAACTAGCATTTGCTGTGGTATACTGCTTTTATAGCATGATCTCATTTACATGCAATACTACAATGGGTAACAAAAGATCTCAAAATTTTAGAAATGGAATATGATGTCCTCTAGAGTCTTTTGCAGCAATGGGATGTTGGATATCATTGAAAATCTATTTCCTTGATTCATATCTGGATTTTTTGTTTGCAGAGAATCTTGGAGCAGTGTCTGATGAGCAAGGGGAACAACATAGCATTAATGAAACAATGATATCAAGGATTAGGGAATGAACGAATGCTAGCTGACTATTTTTGAATGTTCTACAGGGATGAACCTGAGAATAAGCACCAGAGAAATTCTAAATCCTATAGATTTTAAGTTGTAATTCAACAGAGCGTATCATAGCTTTATTTTGTACATGATAGTTTTGATTTTGTACAATAAATAGCAATGAAAATGTCCTATCTTGTATTTATCATACCTTATAAAGCACCTAATTTGTTTGCTTTTATAAGCAAACAAATTAGGTACCATGTACCCAAACATGAAAACTTCAGGTATCAATCATATAAAAATTGTCTCAGAAAAGTAATCTTTCGACTCTGATGATTAAAAAAAAGTTTCATTTTGTTGATCAGTGTATTTATTTATTTTTTATAAATTGATAAATGATAAATATTGCATTGTATTAGTTTTAATTGTATTATTTTTATTTGAGAAGCATCCGCCACATCTTGGGAATAGCATGGCAAGACAAGGTGCCCAACATTGAGGTCCTGTCTTGAACAGGTCTGCCCAGCATGTTCACACTGCTCAGACTCTGTAGGTTAGGCCTTGTCCACTGCATGTCAGACAGCTGCATCCCCAAAGACGTCCTGTATGGCGAGCTGGCCTCTGGAAAGAGACCTGCTGGGTGGCCACAGCTGTGGTACCAGGATGTCGTGAGATGCAACATGAAAGCTGTGGACATCAGCACAGAGTCCTGGGAGAGCTCGGCAGCATACAGGCTGAATAGAGAGGAACCCTGACCAAACACCTCAAGTCAGGGGTGGAGAAGCTGACACACATCGCCACGGAAAGGCTGGCCCACATAAAGCAAAATGACAGCTCCAACAGACCAGAGACAGAACACACATGTGACCCCTGCAACAGAGATTGTCACTCCTGCATCAGCCTCTACAGTGACAGATGATGGTGTTCTAGCCAACTAGGATGCTACCCATGGTCAACCTGACCAATGGAGGCCTACTTTTTAGAATGTTGTAAATATAAAATAAATAATAATAAACAATCTTACAAATAAATATTGTTTAATATTTTTGTTGTAAATTCTCAACAAAAACAAATTTATAAATTCACTTTCATCATATGTTTAAGTTTTATTACAATTCTTACCACTGCTTTTTAAAACAAACATTGCAGAGAAGTGAAGATAATTAAAATAAAAGCAGTGCCAATGGGAAAAAAATGTCCGTTTGTCACTCCATTTTTGGGGGGATGAAGATCCAAGTTTGCCAAAATTTTTTCAACATCTGAAATTAACCTGCCATTATTGGATTTAACAAATTAGAAAAAAACAAAAACTATCCTTACCCGCATAAATAACAAGGCCCTCAACAAAATCTGTGTTTTGTAAGACACAACCACGAAGTAGGATATTGCCGTTATTCAAAGCAACCTTTTCATCATTTGGCAGCTGACTGAAACAATAAAAGAGAAAAATTAAAACTAATGAGAAAAAAAAGGCAAAACTTAGCATCTTAATAATTCCAAGCAATAAAATCAACTGAAATATCATGTATAAATGTATTGTTAAGATAATCTGGTTTTGACAAAAAGTTGAACTTATTGCATACATCCTTAGACCAGTAGCAATGCATTATTTGCAAAGTGCATATTAAAGTATTTAAATAACACTTGATATAAATTTGAATTATATAATAATAGTCTTAAATTATGTTCATTCTGAAATAAAGTGTTTCCATTATTAATTTTTGACTAGTCTTTTCATATTTTTGTTTGTTGTCACTATCTTCTAGGTTGACTATCCTCTGATGTCTGTGGAGGCTTTCATAACCTAATCCATTATCTATCAATGACAAGCTTTCAGGATTTTAGATCTGAATCCAAATATCATTAGAATTTACTTTTTTTATTCCCATTTCATGTTACTTCCTTTGAGAACGTTATGATAAAAAGCAAAAATTAAATGAAGAAAAAGACAAGCCAAAAATGAATAATGGAAAGAGTTAATCTCAGAATTGAAATAATTCAAGACTATTACTAAGTTTTTTTTTTTTTCATACACTGTGTCCCATCCTTTGTAGCTCTAATTACTAAATAGTAAAAACAAAACCAATATGGGGCACAGATTTGGAGTAGAGTATGACATTTTTGTTAATATAATTCAAAATAAGCAAAGTTATACTTAAATTTATAAATATTAATAAGAATAAGACCACATGGAAATTAAGAAAAATTAAATACATAAAATTTGTGAGTAGTAAGTCTTGACTAATATAGTGAAATGGTAATCAAACGGATGGCTTAATGAACAGTTATGCAGAACTGTAACCACTAGTGGAAAAGATAAATCTATATTATGGTTTTTGTCAATCAAAATATGAAATAGTCACAGAACTCAACAAAGACAAAACAGGAGGTTGATTTTATCATTCCTATAATAATTAGTAAACTACCAACCAGAATACAGAAATACCTGCTGAAGCCACAATCTTCTCCAGGGTTCACATCAGCCTGTTCAGCCACTATAGCCCACAGGAATCACTTTTTCCAGCTACACCAGTATGACAGTTCTGATCACAGCAGATACCTAGTCATAGCTGCATGTAATAAATGTAATCCTCTCCTCAATGGTGCTAAGTCTTTGTTTGCTGATAGAATGAGACACCATATAGACTAACAACTTTGACTCATGGTTACTGGCAGCTCTGTAATAGTGGTGTATTAAATAAGAGTAACTATTTACATTGTTTGGCCTCATCTTTGTCATCATAATCCTGACATTTTGGCCATTGTACACTCCAGCCATTTTAGGTGACTGGAATTTTCTGTTCCTTTTATCTTCAATCAATTTGAGATGTTAACATTTTCTACTGATAAAACAGAATGTTTTCCTCATAAATTCTCTTTAAACTCTACTCTTGACTCATCTGGAATATACATGACTGATTATCCATTTAGAATTGAGTCTCTGTCAAGGGATATACATATATCTCCATCCATAGTTTCTGCTGTCATCTCTAATCTGGATTCCTTCAAAGCATATATACCTGATGGTATAAATAAACAAATAATCCAATTACTACAGAGTTCCCCTAAAGAAAAAATCCAAGGACACACACAGACATTTCTATCTAAATCATTTAGTTAGAAAAAATTAACTCCAGATATTTAGAAAAAAAATATCTTAAAATAGGAGATGTATCATGCTAGTTTGTTCCTTGTAGAGTTAGGACTGTTTAGAAGGTCACAAAACAGTGATTATAGTCATTGCTTCACAAACAAAGTTCTTGTTTTCTCACTTTTTGTATGAAAGGAATTAGACATTGTTGTTTTTATTAAATAAAAACTTTACCACCTTTCTATGTTTGATAACTATCTAGGAAAATATGAACAATCTATGGCATAAACAACATTGAGTTGTTTTTATGGCTTATCAACCTTTAGTAGGTTATTTAAAGCCAAAACATATTCTGGATTGTAGGAGGTTGCTCACAGTAGCCCAGCATTCCTAAGTAGTCCTGCTTCTAATTACTGACTGGGCTCACCAATGCAGTGATCAAAAGGGAACTGGACATAAACAAGAAGAATATCATAATAAATTACTATTGTACATTTTAATGAGAGCATGAGATTAAATCCATCATCCATAACATTATATTTCACTTTGTCAATAAATTTCTTATCACAGGGGTGGGTGTTTATATATCTATATAAAATTATACAGTTCTTTCATATGTGGGCATGCCAGGTGCAGCTGAGCTGATCACATGTGTGTGAACTTGGCAGCTAAGCGGTCATCTTTCAGTTCAACCTGCACCTCACCTGGCTTTGTTGAAGGACATTGAGTGAAAAGTCTATTCTGGAATGATCTGAAGTGAGTCATATATTACGATACTTCCACAAGACATTATTCTGAAAGAATATATTCTTTCAAAAGTTGTCTTTGTAGCTCTTTTAATATCTATTAATGGATTAGCTAAAACACATACAATGTATCAAAACACTAGCTGCAGAAACATACAAAGCTATTCATTAAATAAAATTAATATGGTGATATAGTAATTTATTTAATAAAGTGTTATATGCATTACCAGATTGATGAGATAATATAGAATGTAATTCTAACAAATGAAAGATTCTTTATATGTTACACACACACTATAAGTCTACCATTTATCCATGCTTAGAATATTACTGCCACATATAGTCTGGTGCTCCTGCTATATATCTTAAGATCTTTTGATAAAATTCAAAGAAGAATCAGCAACATTATTGATACTGAGCTGGCATCTCAACTTCTGTCACTTTCCCACTGTCATAAAGTTGCCTTCCTGTGCCTTGTCTATAAATACTTTCATGTTAATTTGTTTGAATGATCTCTTCACAATGATACCTAGACATTATGAATTTAAGCACAGTAATAGACTGGTGTCAAGGTCTAACCAATATACAGTTGTGCTGGCTACATCTAACTGTAAGTTCTATGTTAATGGTTTCTTTTCGCATGCTGCTCTACCAGATCCATGCTTTCCAGCCAACTTTAATCTTCAAAAATTTAAATGCAATATCAATTGCTTTCAACACTCTTCATGATTACTCTTCTTTTGTTCTTACTCCTTAATAAAATTTCTGTTTTCTAATTCTTCCACACCCAGTAACTTCTTATGTCCTAGTGACTTTACTGACTTGCTTGGGCTGATATCATGACATTTGCCAAGCTCATCTGACAAAGCATTTAAAAAATCTATCATCCAAAACATATTTAAATCATATATAGCAAAACCTGTTTTTGAAAACTATTTTAGACCACCACACAAAGTCTATTTTTAAAAGCAAACTCTTTAAGAAAATGTAGATTTTAAGTTAATTTTGTAATTAGCTAAGTCCAAAAAGATAGGTACAAGTGTTCTTGATGTCCTACCTGTCCGCACTTTGTCAAACCACTAATTGAAATTGAGTTGTTAAAAATGGGTTTTAAGGAAGGAAATACTTAAGTAATTTGTAAAAGCCATGCTTGAATGAGCCAGTGGTGTAAGTGCATTGTTGTTGACCTGCTTAAAGGTTACAATGCATATGTATGTTTTCATAGCTTTCTAAAAAGGTTCAAATAAAAAATTTACATTTAAAAATCTAGAATAAATAAATAAAATAGAAAGTTAAAACTATAAAAATATTTATTCATTTATTTACTAATATTGGTCTATTTGTTAGTACCGAGTAATTTACGTACAAAATCTGCTTGTCTTGAAAGCGTTACTGTCCACTAATGTAAGAAATCCTTCCAAAATATTCTAATGCTTTTCATTTGGTTAAATATTTGGAAGTTGATTAGCTAGAGAACTTTACAATTTACAAGTTTTATATATATATATATATATATATATATATATATATATATATATAAGCATGCATGCATGCACACACATACACACACTTTAGACCACTAAAATTTGATGCTACCATGATCTTCAGGCAACCAGATCCTTATGATTGCCAGAAGATCATGGTTGCATGAAACTTAAGTAGTGGCTCTAATTTTGTCTCTTTGTGAGGTATAATGCTGGGAAGCGTAACATGTCTATTTTGGTAAGCTAGGCATAGAGCACTTTCTATTATTGTGTAGGTAGGTGTCTGTCTTTTGGTCTTTTTTTTTTCTTAGTTTATGTTTCTTTTTACTCTCCCATCACTTTTCTCATATCATTTTATTTTTCTTAGTTTTTGGTTTATTCATTGTTAGGCTTTTTTTTTTATTAAATTTTCTTTTAGTCACCTGACCAGCTTTCTCTAGATTGCATCACCACTTTGGGTTTTTGGGGTGTATAAAAAAGTGGACAGTGAGGTCAACACCGAGCAGTGACAGTTGGTTTCATGATTAAATGCAATCTTCAGGCCATGTGTGTTGTGTTTTGGTTTGGCTATTTATATATGCTGGACAATGGTGCATTATCGGTAGCAAGGTCTATTGTATTATCCTAATGGTTATTGGGTAGTTATATTTTTTTTAATTATTCTAGAGGCTACGGAGTAGAAATAATTGTGGGTCCAAATGCAGTTATTTTTAGCTACTTTACAGTGTTTTTTTATTAACATTTTACTCATTATTTAATATTGATTACTTTATTATTTCCTGTTGATTATTATTATTATTACAGTTACTTGTGTCTATGTGTGCATTCATACATTGTTAAAATGTGTTTCGATGTTGGAACACATCTCAAAATACAGACATGAAAACAAAGTTTTACATTACATTACTTAAAAATAGAAAAACTAATATTGAATACCTTGTAAAATACCATCATCAAAATGCAAATATATGTACTATATACAACAAAAGTAACAGACTTTAGACAAAGTCAATAATTTAAACTAAACAAATAAGATAACCAACCTCTGCAAAAAACGCAAAACAAATAAAAACAAATATCTAAATAAATAAATAAGCAAATTAAGTAAATAATAAACAAATTAACAAACTATGAATCCACACATAAACACAAGTAAATTTTATAATAGACAATAACAAATAATTAAGTAATCAATAATAGATAATGAGCAAAAAAGTAATAAGCAACACTATAAAATAGCTATGAATAACTGCATTCAGGCCCACAATTATTTCTGCCCAATAGCCTCAAGAATAATTTGAAAAATGTAACCATTACCACCTACACAATAACTGTTAGGATAATACAATAGATATTTTTACCCATAATGCACCATTGACCAGCATATATAGTCAAGGCAAAACACAACACACACAGCCTGAAAATTGTATGAAACAGACTGTCACCACTCAGTATTGACCCCAGTGTCCACGTTTATATTTACATATGCACTATCCTATTATTGAGCACTTTTACCCATAAATATAGCATATATTAGAACTATTTTTTTTTTATATATATATATATATATATATATATATATATATATATATATATATATATATATATATATATATGAATGAGATGCTGAATATTCTTGGCTCACCTTTTAGGACTTCCAAAACAAAATCTGATGTTTGGTTATCTAGTTAAATTTTGAGAAGTGGGCCATTGTTTGTGTATTATTATTATTATTAATAATAATAAAGATTTATGTATATGAAAGGAAATTACAAACATAAAATATTCAAATTAAAAAGAAATTTTTCATTCAGTTATTAAATGAAAGGAATCAGCATTTTTTGGAAATATCTAAAATGTTTCTCTTTTGGCAACCAAAGAATAAATGTCAACTTTCACTAATTTTTATTATTTACACTATCAAATTTTAGCATAGATATTATGGTTTATATTCTAATCAATATCAAGAGTGTTGCATGACCTAAACTAAAAGTATGCAATTTCTCCCTTATGGGAGAAATTGCATACTTTCATCAGGAATTGGTTCACAACTAATATCCTAAAAATTATATTACTAGAATAAATTCATAGGATTTCATTTCAATATAGTCAAAATCACAATTATAATTGCTTTAAACAATTTATTTATATGCAGGATTTAGATGATCATGACTCTCCACAACTTCCTAGCTTTTATAATTCTAAGCTATCCTTCCCAATTTGTGTTATTTAATCCATTTACACAAGCTCCTTAGTTAGATTACTTGCTTTTTCCCAATGCCCTTCTTTTCTTCAATATATCATGTGAGTGTCACATTCTCCAAGCCCCCTTTCCTTGTCATGTATCCCAGAAAGTTCAACTGTCACATTTGATTCTGTGTATTTGTTTTCATTTTCCTTAAATCTTTCTTGTTGCCCACTTGTTCCATTCATGATATTCTCAGCATCCTTCTGTAGAACCATATTTATTGCATCAAGTTTCCTCTTCAAATGTGTAGAAATTATCCAGCATTCAATGTCATTCAACACTTTTTCTAAGTTTATAATGAAAGTTGCTCGTTTCTTAAACTTTGTTTAGCTTTTGGAAGATGTCTTTTTCTATTTCAATATGCTTTTGGGTTTCTGACCACACAAACTCTCACTAGCCACTCTCTCGTACAAATCCTTTGCCCACCTTTACATAATAATAGACTACTCTTAATTTTATTCATTCTAATTGTGACTGACGGTTATTTAAAATGTGACCTGATTATATAAGCTCACAACTGGAATTCCTTACCTTCTGGCCAAGTGGCACTTGATTCCAAAAGTTTATTTATTCATTTATTTACTTTATTTCTCTTTTCTCATAGTTGGTTGTCATAAAATACTGCTAGTTGTTAAAGACCATATAAAATCATTTAGAGCTCACTTAATTTTGTGGGTATTCAAATCATGTGGGGACTCACTGTGTCACACTTATAGACTTAAAAATATTGAAATTCTGAGGATGATAATTTCTTCTAGAAATGTTAATATTAAAATTTTTTAAATCACTTTAAATGGTTTTTCCCATTAAAGTTTTCTTAAAGATAATTTAAATATACTCACATAAAACCATTAAATTTGTATATTTCAACATTAGGTTGATCACAAATCACTGTTTCTGTAAATTTAGTTGGATTAAATTTTTCCTGAAAAATTCGAACAAAGCAATAATTAATATTGTGACATAAAATATCTGTACAAATTTCTACAATCAGAAATACATACACAAATTTATTTAGCTTAAAAAGTGAAAGAGTATTTTGTTCAAAATTCTAAATAAACAGAATTATGCTAAGAAAATATATATATATATATATATATATATGTGTGTGTGTGTGTATATATATATATCTATATATATGTGTGTGTGTGTGTGTGTGTGTATATATATATATATATATATGTGTGTGTGTGTGTGTGTATATATATATCTATATATATGTGTGTGTGTATATATATATATATATATATATATATTCACACATGGCTGGGGGGAAAATTTTCAAAGTATATTTTAAAGAATAACAAAGAAATGAATCTGAAAGAAATCATATTTGATTTCTAAGAGAAAAAAAAAGCTGCATACCAAGAAGTGTAACAAAAAGTTTTTTTTAAAGTAGCAATAAAAGAAAAGTTCAAAAGTTATATTGAAGGAAATTCAATATAATGTTTATGTCACAGCCTTTAACTGTGTTGTTACTTCAGAATGTGGGTGATCATGATCCTCCACAACTTCTTATCATGTTGTTCTAAATAATGCTTTCTTTCTTAACATCCTTCTTTGTTTTCACAGTCTTTATTCTGTCATTTGTTTATTTACTATTTTCCTCGGGCCTCAAGAAGCCCTCATGAGTGTTAAATTGTCCAAGACTTCATTCTTCATCATGTATCCTGAGAATTTCAGCTATTTCCAATTGTTAACAGTAATTTCTTTCTAGTTCCTTTTCTCCAAAAAATACCTCATTTTTCACATGCTTTATTCATGGTATCCTTAGCATTTGCTGGTAGAATCACTTAACTGTCAATTTAAATCACTTTTTCATCTGAGGAAATTGTCCAATATTTACTGCCATGTAGAAGATATTACATTGCAGTCCAGCACTCTTTTGTTTCTAAAGATATTTTCAATTCCCTTAAATGCTTTGCTCAGTTTCTGAAAAACTTCTTTTATTCTATTTGGCTTCAGTTTTCTGGGTTAAACTTTCTGTTACTAGACTACACAGTTAAATTTCCACACTTTCTTGATTTTGACATCTCCAACATGTAACTGACAATGCTAGCCTCTTTTGCTGATAACCATGCATTCTATCTTCTTACAGTTAATGGTTAGTTCTTTGTTTATTTCATCCTGGGTATGACAACAAATTACATCTGGCAGCAAGATCAGGAGATTTGAGGTTTTGAGGAGCATGGAATAACCACTTAACTACTGTTGCTCCCAGATCTACCCTGACCTTGGGTGGTAGCACCTGTTACAGTCCCAGCTATGAGTAAATAGTTGAACCCCCAAACAAAAATCAGAAGTATATTTTTTATAATAAAAAGACCAACAATACATTTTTTTAGCTAAATGACAATCAATGCAACACTAAACAAACATAAAATTACATTTTTATAGTAAAATTACCAACAATACATTTTATGCTCTACAAAATATACATTTAAAAACATTTTATGCTTTCAAGGTAAAGGTATGTATGAAATATTGGTAGTTGAAAGTATAAAATTATGTAAAAAAATGTTTAGATTTTGGCATTAAATAACCCATAGAGGTGTTGATATGCCACTAAATAAAATGAACCAACCAACTTTATTCTTGCATTCTTTAACTTCTATGTCTAATAATTTTTCAGTTTTCTTTATGAATCTGCCATCAGTGCAATGTCATCTGAATGAAAGATGTTGCTACAGTTATATCTACCAATAATAAATCTTGGTACATTTTCTAATCCTCTTAAAATGTCCTCATTGTATGGCAAGGGAGAAATTAGAAGTTTCCCTACAGGAAACATTTGGCATTCATTGCCAGAGAAACTACTTTTGGTTGAAATTTATAAAATTATTTTTAAAAAACAGTTTTTTTTCAAGAAATTAGACTTCTCAAGTCCAGTTATGACTCTTTCTAATATTAACTGGAGTTTCCTTCCAAACATCTTGTTTTTTAGTAGTGTGGAAAGTTAATATCTTGATTATATCATTATTTTCTCTTCATGTGCTAAACCTTTTTGTTGTTGTTGTTGCTGTTGGAAGTCATCAAGTGATGTTATTTTTTGTTATTTGGTAAAATTCTTTGTGATTTTGTAGAAGAAGTCTATAGTGTCTATTTTAGGATAGTCTTTAAGATTTAAAGGATTTATTCATTTGAAGGCATTTTTTAATCACTGATCTGAGAAAACTCATATACATCTGATAGTTTAGATATTTCTGAACAAATTGGAGGCAATCAATATGAAAGTCTGTCTGATGAGGCTATTTAAAAACAACTTAAGTTTTCAATTCAATATTTTGGTTTGTAACATCTTACAGTGTTGGACAAAAGTACACCTAACAGCACCTATCCCATGTTCAATTTCCTCATCTCTTTTACTAAATTTCTTATAAAGGATCCATATAAATCTAGTGAGAAATGAAATCATGTTATCCTACACTTTCTATTGGTGTGTATTCACTGAACACATTCATGGAAGCTGTTTGTCCCTAGTAGAGTTTATACATTACTTAAAAATCTTTTTGTGTAAATCAATCTTTCCCTAATATTTCAAGTAGCTACTCATGACATATCTTATCAAATACTTTTATGCAATCTATGAAACATAGGTGCAGATCATTTTACAAATGTGTTAATAGTTGGAATATAATGTAATTCTTATATCTCAGATTTGCTAATAAAGCATGTAAAACCTCTGAATCAAGGATTGGTTTTAAACATTGTATCTTACAAATGTATATTTTGAACTTACTACTTTCTCTGAAATAGAATTTAAAAAAAAAATGATGTTGCTTGAAATTCATTATTGGATTTATGAATTATGTTTTGGCACATTAGTGTTGAATATTGGGTAATTACAAGTGGTTTGACATGCAGGTAGACTGGTGTAGTCACCTGAAATGGAAAACCACCATTGAGTGATTTAATGGAGAGATATATGAGTGAATAGAGTCTACCCATGCAAATGTTTTGGGCAGGTCCATTATAGTAAAGTGGACTAACTCACCTGCTCTATTAGGTACTCTCCTATAAATGGGGTAGATTAGCTGGCCTGCCTTTCTACAAGGAGACACAAGAAGGACAGTGTTTGTCTGTTTTGGTCCAGTTAAAGATCGTCTCACGAATCTAATGATAAGTCTTATTTATATTTTACTTAGTTTTGAACCTTTTTTGCATTTGATTTTCAGTTTGTTTTCCTTTCTATATTTGCAAACTAAGTTTTACCACATTTTCTTTTTGTATTAATCCCCTCCCCATTTATTTTTATTTCTTTCATTTGTCTTGTTTTTGGTAAGCCAAGGCTATTAATTCTGATTTGTTTCGTTTATTCACCTTGGACTCCAGTCCAGTTTTCTTTCTTTAAATTCTTTTGTTTAAATATTATTTAATTTTTTTAATTTGTGAAATTAATTTTAAAAAAATACTGTAAAAGAAAAAAAGAAACTGTTTTTCCATTGTAATAGTGCCCAGTATTATTATGGCGGATTTAACACAAACACCTGTTTCTCATACATTGGTGATGGCTGAAAATATATCACCTAAAAAGTCAACCTGGTCAGAAACCAGGCCCCAAAAAACTGTGGAAGAAATATGAGGAATATACTAAAGGGAACGAGCTCCTCACTATACTTCCTGTATAGTTTGATGCAGTGAATATAAGGACAATTTCCCTGCTGACGACCAACATAAAAAGTCAGAATTTAGTTGAAACCATGGAGGAAGCCCTTAAGAGTTTGAATATTGTACCAAAAATTTTGGCAAGATGATCGCGGGCACTATAGGACTTAATAATGACAACAGAGGAAGAAGTCTAGAAGTTGTCCGGAAGTGTTTTGACTTCAAAGACACTTCGCCTTCAAACAGAGTACATGGGCATCCAAAGAACAAATGTAACAGTTCTTGAGATGCTCATAGACATCTCAGAAGATAAGTTGGGGGCTGATTTTTGCCCAGTATGGCAAGGTGGAGAAGGTAGCAGGAGTGATCAGCAAGGCAGGAATCGTGACTGGCAATGGCCTGCCCTGGAAAGAAAGTGACACCACAACCAACAGCAGTAACAACAGCAACAACAATAGCTACAGAGGCAGAACCTGGCAAGGCTCCTGGTGATGGTTGGAAGGCGGTGAAGACTAAGGGACAGAAGCCGAAAGCAGACCCCACCCCATCCCTGCAGAAGGAGGTCTCACCAAAGCAGGAGCAGCCAGAGGAGCAACTCAGTGAACAGCTTCAACAGAAGTAACAGCAAAAACAACAGAAACCAAAGAGCCCACCAACAATGTAAAAGCAACCAAATACACAGCAAAAGGAACAAAATATGCAGCAAAAATTGGACGATATGGAGGTGGAGGAATTGCCTCTAACATGATCCTCTTCCTTAAAAAGGAACAGGGAAAAGTGGAAGAGGAAATACAAGTTAAAAAACATACTGGACGAAGTAGGGTGGGGAGGGACATGGAAAAAAACCAGGTCCCTATCCATTCCTGCTTTGCCAGAAAAAGATAAAGGTGCTACTCCAGCATCTAGGAGCCTCCCCCCTTCATTCAGTCGTGTTTCACCCCCTCCCATAACTACCACATCTCCACACATGCCCACTCCCACACATTCTGACTCATCACCTCAGTAACCATCCTTTTCTACACCTACCCTCCCTCCATTTCCACCCCGCTACAACCAGACAAAGATAAATACAAAGAAAAGGAAAAGAAAAAGAAACTCATCCTCAAAACAGAGGAAATATGTAATGTAAAAAGGGGGGAATTGGAGAAGGACCTCTCATCATGCAAAAGACCCCTCCTTAGGTCCCTTGATCAAATTTACCTCCGTCGATGGGAAATTGGTGAAGGACCTTGACAATTTCCTCAGTGCTCTGGGGGTTATTGCCCTCATCAGGGACACCGGGAATTAACTTAAGGTATGGTCCCATCTTTTCGAGGCCAGAGACACCTACCCAGAAATAAGAATGGCCCAGTTGGTCACCCCAGATCTGAAAAAATTACACAAATTTTGTGCAGGGAGGGTCCCGGTACTTCTCCACCCATCATTATATAAGGCATTAAAATTAATGTACCCCACAGACATTGGCGATATTGTCCTAGATGGTCGGATGATGACGGAGTTGGGCACAGGGAGCCTAGGACAATCTATCAGGGTCCTTTCCAATGCAGATTTCTCCTGATATGTGAATAGGTTGACAATTTCTTTCTTTTTTTTTTTTTTCGCTTCAGACTTAAAAGATGAATGCAAAGGTCTTGAGGGATTGGAGTAAGGCTGCCCGCCTGCTCCATGACCTCTTGTCATTCAGAGTGGATGTCACCGCGATTCAAGAGATCCACTTTGTTTGTAGTGCCGATGCGTGTGTGTTGTCTAACGACTGTCGTCTATTCAGCATATGGGGACCAACATGCCAGAGGAGTTTCTTTGCTGGTTAGCCGTACCCTGGATGCAAAAGTGGAACTTGTGCATACCGATGCTGAGAGCCAGTTGATCACGGCCGATATTGCCATGAAAAGTGGTTAGTTCTGAGTCATTCCAGCAACCAACAGTCAGCCCACAGTTCCAGCCATCAGCAGTGGTTCCAGCAAGCCAGCCAATTATCATCTCCAGCTCACCGTCAGCTGCTACACCAGCCATTCTCACCAGCAGCAATGATATGCAATAAATTCTCCTTTTCAGGAAAATGCTCTCCAGTGACTACCAAAAACTGTCCTTCTCAGGACAACACTCTTCTCACCCTCTACATGGGTATGCAGAGATATTTTTTGCCTAGTGCACTGTTACCTTTTGTTGATGTATTTTCTTTAACAAAAATAAACTTAGCAATATATTTTTTTTTGTTTTGTTTGTTGTTTGTCTTCCATCATTTGATATTTGTTTGCAAGCCAATATACCACCAGAAGCAATCTCTTAAAGGGCTCAAAGAGTTGAGTAGAAGTTAGATAAATTTCTCAAATATCCTGAATTCTTTAAAGCCTAAATAATATAATAACTATTAAAAATAATTTATCAATCTTCTTCTAATCCTTCTTGTAATTAAATCAAAATTTCTTTCTTTGTACATTTTGTTTTATATTTTTACCCAGGATAAAAATGCAGGTTTTGTTAATGTTATGGTCCAATATCCTTGCACCACAGTTATGATCCAAGGTTAGAACCAAGGAAGAACAACACGAACACAAGAGTAGAATAACAAAGATATATTACAACAGAAATATAGTACAAGAAGTTGAAGGTGTTAGTAATGACTGTCCGTCTGGTTTAGAGTGAACTAATATTGTCTCGACTCTTTACACCATTCATTCTTTATACCTCTTGAGAGGCGCAGTATTTATAGTGTCAGGAAGAGTCCATTATCGTTATAGGTAAGTTCCCATAACAGTTAATTTATCTAGAAAAAAAATTCTTGAATTCAAAACTGATTTTATGCATTTCTAGGCAAGAATTCATTTTAGGAGGAAATATTATTGTGATTATCCATGAAGCATAAAATCTTAAGAATAATGGATTCTTTAATTGTGTCTCATGGTTAAGTGAAAAACAATGTAAGCTGATGTTGGGTTGAAATAGTAAATAAAATTTACCTGATTTTTGGAGACAACTGCACATTGGCGTTGTTTCAGGTTGTTTTCACCATCCAAATTGCTGGTCTCTATATGACATAAACCTGAACTGTCACTTGAGGCAAGCAGCAAAAGGTCTGCAGGGATGACCTCATCACATGACAAATGTACAATATCTCCAACATATAAGTTTTTCCACATTGTTTTTACATAACGCTTTTCTTTCCTATAAGAAAACAGAGGAAAAAAAAATGAACAAAAATTATTCTATATAAAATTGTATTAAAAACAAAGAAAACAAAAAGGACTTTGCTTAAAAATGTTCATTTTTTTTTTTTAAGCTATGTCTCTAATTTAGAATTTCAATGTAAATAAATCCTCAGATCAGTACAAACCCATTGTGATAATGAATATTGACCTACTTGATATGGCATTTAAAAGGCTCCAGAAAAATAGATCACTTTATATCATTTATGACTGTAGCCCAATTGGTATAAACATTGGTTACTATCCAAAATGGACACCTAAAGACAGCAAAAGAGCATATAACTGAACTATTATGTGCATAAAAACATATGTAGCAATAAAAACAAGAATAAAACTGTTTCTTAACAATTTTTCATCTAAAAAAAAAAAAAAAAAAAAAAAAAAAAACAACAAAATGTAGTTCAAAATTTACTATTAGTTACAAAGTATGGATCAACTTTAAATGTAGAATATTTCTGTATTCTGATCTTAAATATTGAAAAATGATTTCTAGTAGAGACAAAATTTTTTTCTAACCATGGATTATGTCTTGCTACTATTTAATTTCCTGATGGGAATTGTTCTCATTTCACTGTCCACATCTCAGGATTTTACATCTTGTTCTTTTTTAGTATTTAATTATGGCTAGCACTGTTTCCACCACATCTGAATTTGTACTACCTAGCTCAAGGATTGAACTCACAATTACTATGCCACAGGACAATAATCTAGTGGATTAAAGTATTGGTTCATGAACCTGGTAGCATAGTAATTGTGAGTTCAATCCCTGTGCCAAGTAGTACAAACACAGATTCAGTGGAAACAGAATGAGTAATATTAAATTGATTCATTTCTATGGCTTTGTAGGTTATTTAAAGCCATAAAATATTTTTAGATTGTAAGAATTTTTTTTAAGATAATAATGAGTTAGTGATAAAAATCTTATTAACTCATAGCTGGGTGGAGAAGAGGTGGATTAATACCTTTCCCAAGGGTATTTACACATAAGTGAATATAATGAACTCAACAGGAATTGGAACACAACTCACCAATTCCAAGCCATTATTCATAAAACCACCTACAGATCCAAGCTTACAGCACCTGGTATTCCTGAGTAATTTCTGAGGGGAGTACTAAAAGGAACAAGACAATATACCCCAGACATGGATACCAGAATGAAAACAATTTACATCTATAGATCAAATGAAGGATTCAATTTGAAATTCCTTGAACAATATCAACAGACATTTTAAGAAAGCTGAAGGGCAATGGCTGAAACCTTGTTATAATAACAATAAAGATAAGGACATTAGTTTGAATGTAAATAATGATAACTCCTCATCCCAGAAATCCAAACAGAAATGATTAATATCTTGCTTCAAAATCTCTGGCAAAACAAGTTTTTTTTTTTTTAACAATTTACATTGTTGTCCTCATCTTTGCTGTCATATTCACAATATTTTGGCTGTTGAACAATCCAGCCTTCTTCAGGTGATTGGAATTTCAAACCAAACTCTTCATTTCATCCACATAGCCCAGTGGATAAAAGTGTTGGTTGAAGAAATCCAGTGACTTGACCCAAAGAGTTGTGAGTTCAATACCCGGCCACAGCAGAGGTGAGCAAAAACTTGCAAAGTTGAGTTATTAAAGGGAAATAACTGAAACTGAGGCATCTGGAAGTGACATGGCACATGGAACAATCTACTTGTGGATGAAATAAAGGCTTCGGTTCAAAATTCCAAACACTTGACGAAAGCTGGAGCATACAATGGCCAAAACGTCATATGGCAACAAAGATGAGGACAACAGTCCAAACAATGTAAATAATGTAAATAATTACAATATTTCATCTCAGAAATATAAACATAAGTTTTGTAAGTATAGATTCAAAAATCTATTTCATGAGAGAGATTATCAAAGTTTAAAAGTTCTCTTTCCATAGAAAAATTTTTTCTCCCATTCTAGAGTGAATGCTGTTAAAATCCTTATGAGTTTAAAATGAATACATCTAAGAATATCTGATTATTCAGAACAAATCAATAAAAAAAGGCAATATCAGTTTATGAAAGAATTCCAAGTTTGTTAATACAATACATTCAAGTTGGTGAAAACTTCATTATAAAAGTACAAAATACAATCCTACTTCCCACTCAACAGAAATTTCAATAGTTTATTTAGTGATGTATTTGAATGAATAAAAGTATATTTAATAGCTAACCACATTTCAACTAATTAGTTCCTTATATAAAGTGTCGACAGCTGTAGCTAATTTATGGACCAAGGCTAAAATAGATAATATATTTCATAAAAAGAAGTAAAAAAATTTTTTTAGATAAAACAACTGAGTGAAACATACAAATATTTATCATTTATAATCAATATATTTCTTGGTAAATAACCTGTTTTCAATAAACAATAACCAATTATTAAACTCTGCTTGATGCACTGGTTTTATAGATAGGAGGCCATCTAGAAAAATTTCACCTGCTTAACTAAGAAGTTTGGATTTGTTGTGATGGGCATTAATTAAAACAAACATTCCCTTTGCAAATAGCATCTTATAGACTGGTACACATGGTAATTTTTACCTTTCCTATTCCTGCATGAGAAAAACTGGGGTGGGGGTGGCGGTTAGTGGGTGGATACCACCACTCTCCTCTGCTACTTGGGACTGGATTTTCTCTAAGATGATATTTTCATTTTTTTTCTTATGAATCTCAATATTCTTTCATCAGGTTCATTATTTCTGCAGTTTCCCTGTTATTTCACAGTCGCAGTTGACAAACATCCAAGATATTTGTTTATAAAAAAAAAGTTCTAATATATTATAGAGAACTGTATAAATATATGTTGTGTTATGTATATTTAAATTTATTTAATAATGTTGTTATAATGTATTATGAATGTTCATTATTTTTCACACACATAATAGCTGAAATATAATACACAAGTGTTTTATATTTGTGGATCGATATAAGAATGTGCATCAAAAACAAACACTGAATTTCTTATTAAAAATACTGTAAAAACAGAAAAATGACCTCAGCTCAAAACCTCCTTGTCTAATGAAATTTGGCACTGCACTCAGAAGTTCAAGGTACAATATGCTCTGAAACTGGTTGAGGTATTATGTATTGTTTAAGCTGTATCTCAGGAACACATGCATACATACATACAAAATTAAAATTTTAGTATTATATAGAAAGTGGTAAAATGTTCTCACTTTAGTGTCCATGTCTAGGGATATTTTGTCTTGCTTTTTTTTTCTATTTTTTTTTTTAAATGCAGCTCAGTGTTTGCTTGTGATGTTTCCATATTTCTTGAGTCTGTACTACTTGACCTGGGGATTGAACTCACAATTATTGTGCCGCCAAATTCATGAGCCAATGCTTTGGAGATGAAATGAAAGATTCAGTTTGAAATTCCCTGAAGGTTACCTGGAGCCCCTGCTAACTGCAGTGACTCAGAGATAGTGAATTTGTTAAAATTAACCAGATGAACAGGTGAGATGATATCTGGTTCAGTATAGACTACAGTGCTACCCACAGTGGCATAAATGTCTTTTGTGATAGTTCTGAGGCTTGTGAGCAGTAAGGGCCATGTCATATGTTATGTCATGCCCACAAATTCAGGGTCAATAGCATTGCCTACATCAAGATGCTAAGTATAGTGATTAAAAGACTGAGGAACTATATATATATATATATATATATATATATATATATATATATATATATATATATATATATATATATATATATATGTACACACATATATATATGTGTGTGCAGATCTGATATGACTGTAGCATAGTGGTGACTGACATACCAAGTTCAAACCCCAGCTGAGGCTGTTGTGTTCGCTTTTGTACAAAAGGAGGGAGTCTACAGGACTTGTATACATCCTTTCCTCAATCCATCCTATTCTCAGTCTTCTCTTTCACTTTCACTCCCTGTAACACCCTGCATACTAAGTAGCATTCCCACCGTGCTTGAGGTGAAATGATTAAAAATATATATATATTATAAATTAACAGATTTAAAATATGGTTTATTCACTACACAGGAATTACCATGTTTCAAAAACCGAAGCTAAAAGCTTCAAATTTAATTATATAATTGAATTAAAAGCATTAGTTCTGTTTCATCTTCAAGTGAATTTTGGAATAACTTATTTTTAAATTTACTGAGTTTTAAATGCACATACAATTCATATTTTTTTTTGTTTCCAAGGATACAGAGAAATCCAATCATTTAGACAGGGGCAGTAGCGTGTTCATTTTTATTAGCTATTATTGTATCAATTATGAGTTACATTCAAAAAAGAGGTTAAGTCTAGGGAGGTTAGAGGTGTATTTTTCAACGAATTTTGACATGTAGTTATGTTTCTACATTAACTATTCCATATTTTAATGATTAATTGCATCAGCAAACATTTTATTGCAGCAAAACAAAAATGATTTCTTATTAAAAAAACTGTTAGCAAGTAGGACCACAACATCAGTCTCTTTATCAAAAGGGATTTTATTTTATTTTTTGTAAAGATAAAACATTAATTTCAGTTCCTTTACTTCATTGTCTCATCTGAATTTGTGTGCTGAAAAATGATTTCATTTTGATTTATCCATCTATGAAATTTAGTTGTTTATATTTAATGCTTAAATGAAAGAATGCATACTTAATATTTATTTTTAGATGCAAAATAGGTCAATATAAAAATATACAAAGGCATTTGTATTGTCTTCTTGATACAGAAAGGATGATTGAACTCAAAGTTCAGATATACTGTCGGTTGCAAAAGCACTTACACATGAAAAACAAAAAAAACAAACAAAAACAAAAAAAAACATACTTTTATTGTCAATTACTACTTTTATTAAATAACTAGCTTAAAAGCTGCACTCTGGACTTTCAATCTAGCTCTTGCAGATGACTAATTGAGTCTCTGGCCCAAAACTAAAGGTACCTCTGGTCCAGCTTA